TTTTCATCCGGCCTCGATCCTGGTCCCCACCCCAATTGGCAGGGTGAGGTCCAAATTTTAATCCTTGGCTCCACCCATCCCGTTTTATCTCGGTTCACCTCGTTGTTATCCCTACTTAAAACTAAGAAAGAGATTAAATACTAGAATTATTCTTCAGGTACAGATTTTTTACCAGATTTTATACAGGGAGATAGCTGTCTCTTGTAATTTGTTATTATCAAAAACTTTTTTTAACTGCAGCCAATCTCTATGAGACAGTTGTGTTTTCTATATAAAATCTGTACTTGTCGTATTTCTCATTTAAACTATTTCAAAAATATTGAGACATTAAAAATAACTTTTACTTATTCTTGAACACGTCCAAACATGTTATGAATTGTGTCATAAATTTCCTTATCAAGAAAGCTCACCGAGACGATATCTCATTATTAATTTCGTTCTAATCCCTTTATTGGTTTCAAACAAGAGTCCAAACAATAAAAGAGGTATTAACTACATACGTTGAAATGGGTAGAAATTCCACCCCAAATATGAATTTCAACATCCATGATATAAATTGGTAGTACGTATATCCATAATGACTATTAATTTCTTAGAAATAAAGGACATAATATAGTTATAGAATGTTATACGTTGCAAATATGCAATGCTCACCCCATTATTGTTTCAGTGGACGCTATTTAGAAACCATAAGTTCCTCTTAAAATTATAAATTTACGAGGTCCAATCAAAAGTTTTGGTGGAAATTACGCCACCTACCTTATTTTTAATAAATATTTAGACAATACTTTGTAACTTTTTTTTTTCAATAAATACTGCAAATCATAGTAAAAACAAAAAATAAAACATGATAACTAAATCAAAAAGGATAATAATATAGGTAACTTAATTTACTCCAACAAATGTGCCCCTATAGTAATCTATTGATTAATCTAAAAATCCCTAAAATTTTGTCAGTTCATCTTCCTCCCAAATCTTCTCCATTAAGAATCGTCTTCCTCCCAAAATCCCCTAAAACATCTTTCAAAAATCGATATTCAAACAAATCTCCCGCAAGTTGTAATCATTAGTAATATTGCGCAAAGATTACAAAACATGTTATTTTCATGAATTGTTTAATGCCCAAATATGGAGATATATATATATATATATATATATATATATATATATATA